GTATGTAAGTTCAAATTGTAAAATGTTCGTTTCTCGTTAGTGTAAGAAAGGTCAACTGTCCTAAATCTGCGAGATTTGTAAATATAAATCGTTTATCAAATCAAATCTCTCTCTTTCTCTATCTATCTTTATCCGTTTTTTTTATGAGTGATTTAAAGAAAACTATATTCTCTATTAATTAATAATAACTTGATAAAAATAATAAAAATTGGTAAAAACGATGTTCATTCATTATCTTATTAACTACTGTTTTTCTCATTACTTTCATCTTTCTCTCCATCACTAAATCACTCTCTCTCTCTCTCTCTCTCTCTCTCTCTCTCTCTCGCACACACACTCTCTACGTTTTTTGCAAGATTTTTTAAATAAAACGATATTCATTCATATTCTCTCTCTCTCTCTCTCTCCCTCTCTCTCTCTCTCTCTCTCCCTCTCTCTCTCTCTCTACGTTTTTTGCAAGATTTTTTAAATAAAACGATATTCATTCATACTCTCTCTCTCTCTCTCACTCGCTCTCTCTCTCTCTCTCTCTTTACGTTTTTTTGCAAGATTTTTTAAATGAAATGATATTCATACATTCTCTCCTCTCTTTCACACTCTCTCTGTCTCACTCTCTCTATCTATCCATCTATCTATCTCCCTCTCTTTAGTTTATAGCAATATTTTTTAAATAAAACGATATTCATTCATTCTGTCTCTCTCTTTCACTCATTCTCATTTTCTCTCTCCATCCCTCCCTCCCCCCTCCCTCACTCTCTCTCTCTCTCTCTCTCTCTCGTTCTCTCTCCAGCTTCGCAAAGTTCAATGTTTAACTAGCCGATCTTCACTGTTTTGAAACGGAAACGGTCGTAAATGACCAAGCTGCAAGTTCATCAACCCGCAATTCTCCAGAAGAATTCTCACAATTCAGCATAAAACTTGTGGCCAATTTAGAATTTTTCCCTTAACCAGCATAATACGATTGTTATCATATCCCTAATAATAGAAATGAAGTGCGTTTGTGTCGATCAGTTACGAAATCGCAACAAATGTCAAATACACCGTGAAATTTGGAAAGCTACACGTCTTTTGTAGGCGTCTGGTCGTCATATTAGTCAGAAATGTCTGGGCCCAGTTCACGGCACTAACGGTGGAACGAATGAATCGCATGTAAAGATGTTTTAAAAACGTCTCAGAGGGAAAAAAACGCAGCCAATGCTAAAACGGCTCGGATTCGAATAACGCCGACTCGACGTCCGTGAGTCACCGTCCTCTGCAGTCGGAGCGTTTTCATTTTCCACAATCGAGCGCTCATTTGAAACGGAAATTCTGGGAAAATCGTCAACGACACGCCGTTTTGGAAAAGAATCCGAGCCACGTCCGCGATTTTACGAATTGACAACTCTTGCAACAGCCCCCTTCACGATAAAGAAATCGGATGTTTCTCCTCCCTATGACTAACCAGGAAGAGACGCATAACAACATAAAAGTGTAATTGAACAAACACACTTGTACGCATTAATCACTCCCGATCGAAAAAAAAATTATCTCCCCCCGCTGATACGTAACATGGAAAACCTTTCGATGACGAGAGCGAAAGAAATATTGTAAAATAAACCGACGAATTTCGTAAGAAAAGGATTGTACAAAACCAAACACAAAAATTAAACTATCAGAGATGTTTGAACCTACATAAATCACTCTCTCCTTACTCACTCATTTGGGCCAATTTAACAAGATCATCCAGTCATTCGCTTACAAACGCAATCTCGCGTTACTTTCTCTAGACATTTGTTCCCTTAACCCAGCCACGGCCAACTTAATGAATTTATGTGGGCCGCGAACAATATTTCAATATTAGTCAATTAATCGAATGAATTCTCGATACTTCTATATTTTTTTTAATATTCCGTTATAAAGAATTAAAACTTTTATACTGGTTTGTACTTTTTTCTATAAATCCGGGTGAATGCAAATTTGATCATTTTCCAACATTACAGACCATATCTTTAAGAATTTTAAAATAAAAGGTTCAAACATTAATAAAAATATTCTTTCGCTGATGACAGATTTGATTGACAAAAAAATTGATAAAATTTTATGTATGTATGTATGTTATTAGTCCATTTTCTGGACAAGTTGACGTTCCATGTTGATATACAATTGAGAAATTTCGAGAAGAGCAAGAAAATTTGCGTGATTTTTATAAGCAATTGAATACAATTGAATAACGAAAAATATGAAAATTAAAAAAAAAGCCAAGACGTATTTTAGTAATCTCAGCTGAACTATATGTCTGTACAAACGTTTTCTTTAATGAATCTGAATAAAAGTTCAACAAAATCCAGAGTGAATGATTTAAATTTGGAGGCTGTATTAAAACAGCTACTACAAGTATAGGACCAGATATTAAAAAAATAATGATATATTGATTTACTTAACAAATTCGTAATAAAATTTTAAAGTAAATAAAGAAATGTGTTTTGCTTAACAATTTTCAATTTTAATTGTCAAAACTTTTATTGTTTTCAAGCCTCCCTTCACCCAGATAACGACTTATAAGCATTTTTGCTCTACAGAAAACCAATCAGAATTCTTGATACACGTCAGAAGGTTCATGATCAGCAAGGGAATTATTTGTTGGAGGGTTAACCTTTATAGATCAGGCTAATCCTCGAAAATATTTCTTCCGGCCAGTGAAAAATTTTTGTTTTCCAATTCGGCCCGGGGGCAAATACATGTGGCCATGCCTGTTAACCAGTCGAAATTTTACATATACAATTGCAAAGTCACACATTCATTTACACACACTCATTCTCTTATAAACACTCTCATTCGTTCATACACTCTCTTTTACCTAGAGTCGCATTCATTCATTCACATGCTCACTTTCTTACCCAGTCATACATTCATTCAACTTCCTTCAATTAAACTAAAATTCAATCAATCGCCTTTAAAACACTCATTCATTTTCACACTCACTCATAAATAGACACTTCCAACACTCCATAGACTCTTCTCTTTACACATTCATTCATTCAATATCTTGTACATTCATTCAACTTCATTCAATTAAAACAACATTCAATCAATCTCCTTTCACACAGACACGTATTCATTCATTTATTTTCACACTCACTCGTACATAGACTCTTCCCAGTCATTTACTCATTCATTCACTCACCATCTTACCCAGTACCTCACTCATTCTCTTAAAATCGCACTTATTAATTCATTTACCCACTCTCTTACACAGCCACGCATTCAATCACACACTCATTCTTTTATACACCCACTTTCTTACCAAATCGCGCAGTCACACGTTCTTTCTCTTAAAATCGTTCATATTCATTCTCTTAGAATCGTTCTCATTTAATCATACACTAACTCTTTACCAGTTTCTAATTCATTCAGTCCCTTATCAAATTCAACATTTATTCTTTCCCAAAAGCATTCTTTGATAAACGCACTTTGATTGATTTGATCCATTTCTTACTGTTATTTTATTTTTCTAAAACTCATTCCTTTAAGAATGCTCCCTCTCATTCATTCTCTACTTTACAGTCACACAATCATCAACTTCTTACAGACACAACATATCAATTCACTCACTTATTAATTTTTATTCTATTTTATGGCGTTTATTTGATATTTCCAACTTCAAATATTGTATTAAGTTAATATTTTCGTGTGTGTTTTATTTGCCGTTTGATTCACTTGTAGAAGTTGCCCAACAACCCTCATTCACACTGAAAAACTCAATATTTACATATACTCCATAAATCAATCGCTTCCTCCTGCAAATTAACCAATAATCCATCATATCAATCATTAAACTTCACAACCTCTTATTTATCAATCAATCATCATTAAGCCGTAAATAAATTAACTTATTCAAGCGATCGTTCACAAACCCACCAACTCATACTTTAACACTATCACTCAATCAATCCCTCGATCCTTTGACTAGTCCAACCCCATTCTTAATCAATTGTACAACCTCTTCCTTACTAATTTCTCCCCTTACCTCCTTCTTATCACATCACTTTCACACAAAGCCAATATGACACCACAGGAATAGCACCAGTCTTTATACACTGAAGATGACCCGAATCAAGGTCGAAACGTCGGCAAAAAAATGAAAAAGGTGTTTTTCTAAACTACCTCATTCTTGAGCGCCCCTCACGCCTTTAACAAATTATTCAAAACTAACTTCAATTATTCAATCGCCTCAATATCTCAATCACAACCCCACCAATCCATACTTTTACACACTCAATCAATCAAGCACTCATCTTTTTAACCATTAAACCGTTTCGCTTATTTGTGCAACATTTAATTTAAACGATGAATTCATTTGTTCAAACACGTTTGATCCATCGCACGTTCCTCACTCACCCCGCAACAGCTTCATGCTTGTAACCACGAATCTATCATAACCCTTTCTTTGTAATCCACGCGTGCATTTTTTGTTTATTTACAGGTTTGTATTATTAGCATTTCCGTTCTACTGGCACTGTGTCAGGGATCAGGAAGCAATTTAACCATCTTCAGAAAATCAAAACCTAAGTATGTTTGCCATTACTGCATTTTTTTATGTTGAAAGCCGTCAACTGGCACATCACCGCAGAAACACCGTTAAAATAAGTATTATTTTGTGGGGAAAGGGGGTTAAAAAACCAAGTAGGTCCCGAGTGTGTGACTGTAATTACCTGTGGCACATTAGCCTGGAAATAATGCTGCTTAGGTTTCTAGGTGGAGAAAGGGTTGTAAATACCCTTGATTTGATAAATTGTTTATAGATAATTTGTAAATTTTGAAATAATTAACCTGACGGTTTTTGGTGTATACTTGGAATATTCTACAGGTTCTGTCAATTTTCGCCGTTTGGGCACGAAAAGGGTAATTCAGGTAGTGTAGAGGCGTCTATCGGGTAGGACAAACCGCCAGAACAGCTCAAAGCAGGTGTTTCGTGTTGAGTTGGCTTTTTTTAAAGCTATATTTTATATTTGACATCTTACCGGAAAATAACTTGGGCAGGTTGACGTGTGGGTCCGCAATCGTGGGATGGGGTCCGAGCTTGAATGGAAATAAACAGATGGCACTTTGACAGTGCAGGGGGAAGAGCACACACACACAAAGCACACTCCGAGGATCGACGTCGCACCTCGCGTCCGCGTGTCTCGTTCTGCCGACGCGGTAGCGTGAAAACGTTAAATGGCGCGTTTGGCTTCGCTTGTACACACTGTGCAAAGCCCGGAGGTCGACTGAATCGAGAGGCCGGGGGGCGCAGGGAGTCGAGAGTGGGGCGAGCTTCGCCGACCGAGGCCGAGGACCCGTCACCGACGCGATTTCTTTCCCTACGGTATCGGGTTTAAAGTCCCGCAATGGACTTTTATTGAAAGGATGGATGCGCGACCTGCTTCCTCCTTGCTTGATTTGAGCTTGCACCCTTTTTGGAAAAAAGACACCAATCATTTCTTAACCCGAAAAAAGACCCCAGATCGGAGTGAAACTAGTACAAAGATATGTTATCTAGCGAGGAAGAACGGGCCACAAACGCGATTGTCCTTATCTCGTGTGTTCCTTGCATACAATTACAACGGCCATCGTCTTGGCTTTTCTTACCACAGTCCTAACTTAAAACTGAATCTGTTACGATTGTAATATTATTAAAGCTGGTGGTTTACCACAAAATAAGGCCTGATTTTGTTTATTGAATATTCGCCAGTGAAATAAATAGACCAGGAATACATTCCCGGAAGACAGCCATCTGACAGTCAGTCAGCACTAAAGGCCCTAGCCTCCGCGATGTGAAGGCAAAGATTGTGTGCAACTGCATGAAGGTCCTGACGGAAGTCAGTGACACAATGACCTGATCATGGCATGGGTGCCTAGGCACTAGGGGCATAGAGGTGACGAAAAGATTGACATGTTGGCCAAAGTGGGGGCCAACCTGGACTATGTGTCCTGAACCGTACTGTAGCTTAGTATCTAGTAGTTAAAATGGATCCTTAGTCAGTCCAAAACCTGGTGGAACAATACCACAGGTATGATGCGGCATGCGAAGAGATTCATGGAAGGACCATCCGCAAAACTTACCAAAGTATTACTGGAAGGGAACCGCAACCGAACCAGGATTCTGGTTGGACTCCTGACACGACATTAGCACTTAACAAGGCACATGCACCGGATAGGAGTACAGGCAGACGAAACACTGTGCTCACTCGCTCACCTACTTATTTAATTAATGATAATAATTCATTACTGCTCACTCATTTTTTTACTTCTCAATCGTTCTTTCATGCATATGACATGCTTGGTTTCAAGACATTAGAGGAAGGCCTGATTCGGCATCATTGGATTTTGACGTCACTGGACATATACTAACTTTCTTAGACATGAACTGGACAATAGCCAATCAAACCAAATAAGCCACAACCTTGGCCTTATTGGACAGTAACCACCCCTGTCTTCCTCTTGGTCATCAAACAACTGTACGAGCAGTAGCCCATGTGTAATTGGAAAATTAACCTAGTTGGTTCATTCTTTAATGTCAGACTATCAGACTACTGTACCACCAGTAGCCCGCCCACTTTGATGTCATAAGACGATAAACTTACCAGCTCGGCTACGCCCATTTTGACGTCATTGAGAAAGTAAAGAACCATATTATGGCTCTTCCACACTGATTTCATTAGATGACGTGGGGATATTAAAAACCATGAATTACCACCGGCTAGTGTGTTTTCTATCGATCGATCGAATAATCTCTCTCCACTATATAATTAAGAGAAAGACTTTTTTTGTATTGTGCGTCGGAGTTTTTCACTAATGGCCTATCGGAAAAGTATCAAGTGATCCAGTTTGAATATAAAAGTTACGCCTTGATGTTGTGGTTTTTATCCAATAACGCGGAGGATATTGAAAATCGACTCTTGCGGCTTTTGCTCATGAACAGAAGGATATTGAATATTAATAGGCTTTAGACACATCGAGACGTGGCGGATCGAGAAAATAACATTGAATTTCAAGCCGGTTTAAATATTCGTTTCGGTTTCAATTATCGGGCCCTTTTCCTCGCGTTAATGGGCTCCCTCTAGGCGATGTTTTCTTCCTCTGCGATATTTTCAAACGATTTCCCCCTAGTTTGAAAATAACTGGCTGTCTTTTTATACCACCTCGGTTTTCTTCTCGAAAATACTGAATAATGATCTGGTAGGGAGGTATCTTTTCAGTCAGAACAATACACTTATACATTGTACCTTGTGTTTTCGCAGTTCTCACTTTGTTTGGAAAAGGGCGCTTGCATATATATGCAAGGATTCCGCTAATCGGCCCACCTGTTTGCAGTTGTAACGTGTAAGCAGTTAAGCCCGTGAAGTATGGATATAGGGTTGTGTGCAATCCTCGGGAACGGCCATACACACGCTCAAACAAGTGCACGCTTGTGGAATGCGCCCTAGGCAAACACCTTTGCTTTAATTTCCAGGCCGTACGGAAAGTCGTTAAAAAGGGGCTTATTAGCCTTAATGGAAGCAACTTTTGTTTGAGAAACTGTTAACATGGAATGCGAAAGGAGAAAATTTGACCTTATTATCCTTCATTAATAACAATTCGATGTATAGCAGGAAAATGGTTTTTAAAAATATCGATTTTTCATTATAGATACTTTTCTATAAATTGATATTTTATCAAATATTCTAGTTCTAGCAAATATGAACAACATCGATATATCGTATAAATTTTAAATTTATATGTTCGTTATTTTTGGAGATCGATATTTTGGTCACTAATCAACAAATAGTTACTTCCTTTTTGGAGTCATTACGAAGTTAACTAACCAGTTGGCATGTCCATTATCACTGGAAAACTGGCCAACTATAAGTTACTTAATCTATGACATCATTACACGATCGGCAAGCCATGCCAACTATGACGTCATTGGCCACAATATATCGCGATTTTATGTATACATCGATATTTGGTCAAGTAGTATTTATATATTGGATATTTCCAATATACTTGAAACGACTATGACGTCATTGCAACACTGATCAGTCATTGGCCACAATTTATCGCGATTTTGTGTATAAATTGATATTTGGTCAAGAAGCATTTATATATTGATATATCCAATGTATAAATTGAAAATATATTTGATATATGCAATATGACTACGACGTCATTGGAACACTGATCAGCCATTGGCCATAATGTGTCGCGAATTTCTGTGTTAATCGATATTTGGTCAAGGAGCATTTATGTATTTGATATATCCAATATCAACAATTGCGATATATTGCACATACATATTTTTTACAGGGTATCCATGTTTTTGCTGTATCGATATTTTATATAAGCAAAAAGCAAGGTATAAGCACACTGATGCATTCGATTCACTATTTCGATATCTCGTATATAAATGACATAAAGATATTTTGGGTACCATTTTGATTTATAGATCGATATTTTTGATTTCTTAGAGATCGATATTATTGAAGTGATGGTTATTAATGAATAACTACATAATGATAGTATGAAATATTTTGAAAAAATCTGTATACATTAAGTATCGATATTTATATTAGATACTTTCTGAAAAAACGTCGACATCGATAATTTTTTACATGGATTATACTGATCTTTCTATAAGATGAAATATAGATACTTATTAATTGATTCCTATTCCCAGTGTTGACATGCCATTGAAGGAAAGGAGGTGCGAATTGGAAACGACACCGCCTCCCTCGGGTTTTAAGCTGAAAATCTTTTCCGGCCGAATTGAGACGAGACCGGATGTTTGGCCGGAAGGCAATTTGTTAAAGTGAAAAAGCCCCGAGCCATTGGAAATGGGTAGTAATCTGGATATTAAACGGGTCCTAAGCCCCAGATTTCGGCCGGGATGGAGGCGGCACGGGACCCACCGGGATTGTGATCAAGGGAAAAAGGGTTCCGGATTATGGAAATTCTCCCTCCACCCTCCGCGTTCTAATTATAGGCGGGGGTGTGATCGCGGAATTCGGTTGTTTCACTCTCACGACGCCTCTCATCCTTTTCCTAGGCGATTTTGACAAATTTCACCCTGACCCTTGTTAGTCAGTCACACAGTTAATACAAAAAAATCTGAAGATTCTAACCTGGGTACTTTGGCGGTGGTGACGTGCAGAATGGCATCTTACCTATAAAAGAAAAGTACATAAGTAATCTAAATTGTAACAGACACGCAAATTCCAAGTATAAATGATAATTAGACAGTTAAAGTAACTCTTATTAAATAAGGATTAGACGTAATTACTGAGGCTCAGTCGCTCAACTTAATTAAGCGAAAAAGCCGCTGAAGTTTGAACATTAAACAAATGAAATTTTACTCCTCCTTTATGTACGATACGTACGAATTACGTTTAGCACCGCCCACTTTGTCGTCACTGGACTATTAAACGACCATTAGCCACTCCTACTTTGACATAACAAATTAACATACATTCCCTATCTGACCCAATTGGACAACACACGAGCCAACTTGGACGAAATCAGACAACAGAAATGAGCCATGAGGTCGTTGGACAATAGGCAAACCTTTCGATTCTTTGGCTTATTCTTACCTTCCTCTTACCTTTTAACATTTGAGGTCACTGGTCAATCAATGCCACTTCATCAATCACGTCATTTCACGGTTGGCGACAATGGCCAACTAGCCAAATATTAAGGCGGCTCAAGACATGCGGTATTCGCCGAATGCCTAGCAAATGTTCGCCGAACCCCGACTAGTATTCGGTGCTCGCCTTATTGTCGGTTTTCTTGTCCTCTTCAAAGGGCACTAATATTCGTGATGTAACCGCACTCAAACCACACATTCGGGACTTAACTGTAACTGTACATACCTACTGTCATACTAACCAACTGTCAACTGTTATGAAAATCAACAGTAAGTGCACACTTCTATTTAATACTATTTATTTTTCATTAATAAACGATTGCTAACTAGTATAAATGTATTAAATTATACACTAAAAATATTATTGTTTTTTCATTAGGAATGGATTGGCCCAACGCCACAGTTTTGGACTTCCTCTATGTTTCTACAGAACCAATAATTTGGAAAACTTCTCTTACGAATAATAAATTGTTTTATAAATAAATCAGTAAATTAAAAAAATATAATTAAATATATTTTTTTGAATTAGTCCGAAGGCATTGCACAAAACCTATTGTTCATCACGATTGATCCATACGTTGAGCCTCGCACAGCACTCAGCAAATACGCTCTTTCCGCACAACTGGGTAGTTATGCAAACCCCGCATGTGTGTATACATAGGCAAATGCCAAGACGAGCATCTCGAGACTTGGCAAATATTCGGCGGCAATCGGCAGTCGGTGAATACCGCATGTCTGGAGCCACCTGCAGTCACATACTCAATGACGTCATTACAACGAGTGACAAGCCAGCTAAACCCTGACGTCATTGGATAAATTGGACTAGTTAGATTAA